CATTCAGACATCTCAGCTATACTATACCTAATTTATTAATATTATACAAAAATAGTATAACAATAATTATACTTCACTCGTGAAAATTACATTGTATAAACATTATATTCTACAAGATAGCATAAAATAGTTCTAATATTTAAGAGCTTAATAATCAAAATATAGCCAAAATTGACTCATTCGCTTTATTAACCATATTACTTGCATATTTTTAGCAAAATGCAAAGGCGTAAGTACGAGGTTAGGTTAGTCCAAAAGCAAATATTAAAATTCATTTTAAAACTGAGTGCTAATTTATTTATGCTAAATAAAAATAACATACATAAATATTAAACATATAAAGAACTAGAATAATATGACTAGGTAGTATTCAAGAAAAACGATTTAGAAACCTGGATCTTAACGCAAATATATACCGTAATAATATATAGTACTACTAAAATATATTTTTTTAACATTACACTGGATATTTTATCGTAATTTAATAATTGTTGTAAAGATTTTAAAGTAGTCTAACTGAATTGCTTAAGATATTTTCAACTACCTACAAAAACATTTGAATAACGACTTAATTTTACATTTAACAGTTGTACAATAAATATTAATATTAAATAATGAACGTACTGCAGTATACACATTTTTACCTTGCACTGTGGCACTTTCGTATTTTTGTCAACGTTTCTAGTCTCCGCACTGTTCGTGACAGATTTTAGACATTCAGACGACTGAGCGTTTAGTGTCGCCACCGAAACCGTTGTAAATCTAGATAACACTGTAATATAATCCTAATAATAGAGTCAGAAGATTGCTGTGCCTACGTGTTGTATAGCGTCAACCAATAGAATTGTGTTAGAAATTTAAAACATTAAACTGTAAATTAACTGTATACCTACCTTGAAAAAAAGACAAACTGCATGAAGTTACTATATAAATACAATACATGCAATTGAAATTAATTTTTTCACTTTTATAGAAAAAAAAAAAATAATAATCCCATTACACCTGGTCATACTCTAATGAAATCGCATCATCCCTCAATTAAATAAGATAACGTATTTCAATATTTGAGGCAAATACATTACGTCCTTTGTTTTTGATCTACAATATTGCTTATTGTTTGTAATATGGTAAAAACTATGATTCATTTATTGTACCATTAAGGTATATTCAAGAAAAACCATGAATATTATATGTACATATATATAAATTAAAATAATTATAACAATCAAGTATTATAATTTATAAGGCCATTCTCTGTAGATTGAACTCGGCATCGGGTATTTTGTACTGTAATACAAATACAATTAGTAAATGGGTAATGGGTATATAGGTAATACAATATTTATGTACATGTTGTTAGGTTTAGTAAATTATACAAATACTAAAGTGCCAATGTCATATACCATAAGAATACTAACAATAGTATGATTCTAATTGCAAAATATGTCGTTGCCGCAGAAACATAAAGTATATACATAAATTATAAATACAATAATATAATCACTAATCAGTAATCTCTATACTTTATTATTACTTATTTGTTTATATTTATTGAGTTATTATTACTGTTATAATATATTATATCATATATCGTATTATTATGTATAATCCAAAAGTTATTGAATTTCCGCGTGTTTTAAGTTTTAAATTAAGAGAGCGTCGTATTTCGCTGTGTTGTCTACGTCATACATATAGGTCCAACACATTAAATATCAAAATGTACGTCCAGCCTCCAGAAGTTCAAATGTTGTGTTGTTAGCTTAAATATTAGAGTGAATGGACCATTTTTAAACTTAAATGTAAAAATATTGCTTTTTTCTTTATTCTCTCTTTGGTTTTAAGTTTTTTTTTATTTTCAAGTGAGTTATTATGAGTATATGTTCTACATATTCAATATTTGAAAATGCTCATAATTCACTTAAAAATTAAAGTATCATAAAAAACCAACAAGAGAGTACAGATAATGTTCTTACATTTAAGTTTAATAATGGTCAATTCACACTTATATTTAAGCTAACAAGTAACAACATAAAATTAAAACTGCTGGACGAACATTTTGTTATATTATGCGTTAGTATAAGATAAATACAACATAATATTATGTGAGTACGACGTTCTCTTAATAGTTCAAAAATGTCTAAATCTGCCACTAATACTTGGATTGTAGAACATTGTTTACCATAATATAATGATTATTGTAATACTATATTGTACACAACACAATAATATGTTTCTATACAATTTTTTTTCACGAACACATTATTTTGGAATAAATACCTAATTTTTAGTGCACGAACTTCCGGGCCCTATGTATTCATAACGCTGAGTATATTATAATACAGAGGCAAGTGTCGATACAGAATCCAACGTTGATGGTTATTTATTATTATTGCATTATGTGATTTTGCGACAATAAAACATCGGCGATTGTATCTCTATAGACATTATCTCACCGGAAGCAGCCCTTTTGGAACACAACAAATATAATGACCCTCCAATAACAATAATAATGGAGTCGGTGTATGTTCAGATTATAGATATGAAACGAACAAAACGTTATAGAAAACAGAAGGCATATTGTTTTCTGATAGCAATAATATCACGGTCATAACATGTTTCCACTAAATAAATAAACCTTTCAATTTTCCACCAAATGAAATATTGGCCAATTTCAGTTTCCGCCAAAATAAAATTCTATGTACCACTAATCCGTAAATTAAAATTATTTTTAGATTCTGAGAAAATTTGAACTACGGTCGGTAAAAAAATTGGTATCTAAGATCTAACTAATGATTTTTTTTTTTAATACCTACAACATACAACTATATATTATATTACAGTAAAGCAAAAGACATATAATATTTTTCTGATAACAAAAACATCACCATCGTTAAACGTTTTGATCAAATTAATGTACTTTTGAACGGTCCTATTTTCTATCAAATGATATTAACCAATTTCCACTTTCGTAAAAAACAAATTTTTTTCTATAAATGAGAATAAAATGTTTTTTGTTGTGTAAAATTCTTGTTAATTTATTACAAGGTTCCTCATCATTCTTATAATATAGCGGTTTTGATTTAAAGATTTATACGTTCTTCATTCATCATGCACTAAGAATAATTGTTCAAACTTTGACTTCATTTTTAATAATTACAGGCATAAGGATTTAAGTGTTTCGGTTTGGAACAATAAACATCCTTAGTTCTACTATACTAGAGTTGTGAGTTCAAACGCCACATGGGCCCATGTACTCGATTTCCGTAGGTTTTTGCGACTAAATCATTATCGTTTTTTAAATCTTACAAATTATTATCATTGTTGGTTTCAACTGGTTGATGAATAATGTTCAACTATCCTTATACACGTAATATCATGACAACGATGATACCAATCAACATTCGTGTATTTGGATCTGTTTGTTCATTGAGTTGCTTGGTTTATTGATATGCCATAATATTATGATATCAAAACAATACCAGTTCCATAATTTAAAAAAAAATGATAGGTTACTTGTTATACATTGTGACATTTACCATTTAAATCTGTGTCCGTAAAAAATATGTTTGCTGCAGGATTGAGTACTATGTTTAGCATAATTTTTTTTTTTTTTTTTACATCTAAATGACACATAATATATTGTTTGTTATTTTTATCTGCATTCGTGTTTTAGTGTTTGTCAATACTTCTTTAAGTTTTGATTTGTGCATAGTAGATCGATGTATTGCACGTTAAAACGAGTACCAATTATAATACCGATTTACCCTTGTTCTTGAGGGAAAGGATACTATAAGCAGCTTATATCGCTCAATATCATATTATGATGGACATTTTATAAAAGTTAACTGTCTTACTTAGGTACTATACAATGTATATAAGCTAATAATTATTCACCCTCGATATATTTGTTGAAATATTATGATTATTGTGACTTTATTTAGAATAATAATATTAAATAATAATAGTCATAGAAAACGAAATAATCTTTAAGGTACTCGATGTCTATTGTGAATACGCTGTAATTCGTTCGCAGCAATATTATAATAAATTACGGTATTTATTATTATATAAGTGTCGTAAATCGCAATATACGGTCGTAATAACTAATGTATATAATATTGATTATCGTATCGATGGATTTGTAATTGTCAATACGACATTGCAACACAGCATATGATTATATGAACACCCAAATGGCAAATGCGAGTATAGTGTAAAAATGTCAATAAAAAATAAATCATTCATTGGTTAGATCGAAACGGGTTGATAGTCGAACGGAGGATATGACGTACTTACCTAAATAGATCTCTTAGCCAAGTCAACGCCACGCGATTTTCATCATCTGCGAGCACGTCATCGAGCTCGGAATAGTATTCGCATAGTCTATGTACCTATAAATATGTTATTGTATACAAGTTCGTTTATCACACGGCAAACACTGTACAATATAACCGCGATTTAATTTATTATAATATGCAATATTCTATAATATAATGCGCACCACCATCGTATCTACATAATAATATAACGGTAGGTACAATGTAAAGCGTATGCACATCATACATATAGGTATACATTTTGTATTATATTATGCACACGAACTCCACCAATAGTGCTGCCATAAATGTACCTATATACACGGTAATAATAATTGTAAAGGCACCTACTTAATGCACCGATTCACTACAGAAAGTTGTTGTTTGTGCATATATATATATTTATGGTGCACCGCAGACGTCTAAACGACTTTACAAGTATAAATAATAGGAAATGTGTAAAAATGCAATATATAATATACCTAACTATCATAACTATTATCATTTATATTGGTGGCTGCTATTATAAGTCTTATTATCTTCTCGTATATATTAAATATGGGTACATAATATGCAGCTAGTGGTTATATAATAATATATTATTGTACTGCAGTGGTTTTTTTTCGAGACGACAAACGATCCACCGATGCGATCGCGACCGATAAACATATAATATGATAACAATGTAACATTGATATATTACAATATATCCGCCTGCGTACAGGTGTGAGTGTGCGTGTCGTGACCCGTAGAAAACTCAAGTGCACACACGTCGGTTTTCTTTTTGCTTTTTTTAAAAAAACATCTTCCCGGCGGTGTTTCTATACTCCTTTATACCGATTATGAGAAGCGACAAAGTTGCGGACACGCGCGTAAGTACTATCTATACAACTATACACTATATACATAATAGTATTACATAATATTATTATAACTACCTAGATATGCACACAACCGATTTGATCGCCGGCAGTTGACAGTGGTACGTATTACGTCCATCCAAACAACGTCGTTATATCGATTGCCAATAATGTATACGAATGCACCGAAGTAAACCATAACGTTATAAAAATTATTGTCCGCATCGAATATCACATTTTATATTATGGTTACGTAACATCATACGCGACAAAAGTTTTATTGTATTTTTGCGCAAGCGATATAATACATAGATATAGTTAGACACGATAATTACATGGGTATACATTATAACTTTATTACTAATTACTGTTACGACCATAGAGTAATACTCTATGGTTACGACTAATTAATATTATTGGGCGATATTGTATTCGTTTTTAAAGCCGATGTTTTTGCTGGATATCGTGTATTACTAAATAAAACATAATATATCGGTACACCGCACACGGAGGTATTAATTTGTTTCTTGTTGCAGTACTGTAGCCATCACTCATGTCACGAAGTTGAAAAATAATAAAATCCACCTGCAGCAGATCAGGTCTAATTGCATTTGAGCTATGGCATTTTACTAAATGTAGGTATGGCATTTATTATACTTTATTATGATACCTCACACTTTATACCGAAGTCGTGTTGAACATGATATATAAATATAATATACATCCTTTTCAATAGATAAGTGTAATCAGGATCGGATTGGGTACCTCACCGCTGCAATTGACCGAAAAAAAGCCTTGGAAACAGGCCGTAACTCATACCTAATAATTATTTACTTACATTTGATGGTTTATTTGTTTCCACCAAAAATGGCCACAACTATCATGTATATACTTGATTATAATACTCAAGGCAATAAATATTATATTATATATGTCTATTAAAATAATAATAATAATAATTTTTATTTTTTATAGATTAATTAATTTTAATATTATACTTATGTCAGTATAGCACAAATTGAAATGGGCAAATAAACTAATAACGCCAATAACGGTTATTAGAATATAATAATATAAAAAAATAATTTTGATATGCATCTATATCTTATAAATTATACTTATAATTTATAAATTACTGTTTAATTTTTAGATAGTTTTCCACACATGAGATATTTTTTTAAGAATAATTAAAAATATTTAATATTCTTACATAACCAACATATAAAGTATTTAGTATTCAGTGTATTTTCCAAATAACTACTTAAAAATGTTAAATGTATTTTGAATACAACTACCTATATACGAGTTATTTAAATACTACGGATATAAGGAGGACCATCAATTAATGAGGAGTATGGTGGGAAATTCCCATAGTTTTCATTCCTCTAAAATGTATTGGGAGCTTAAGCCCCCGTAATATTTTTGGGTGATTTGAGCCTATGACCATGCAGTGTATAATATAATTGTTTTACTTTTGAATCATCTTCTCTTAAGGTAGGTAACTGATATTAAACGTGTAGCCGTGTAGGTACTATTGTAATATGCGTATAGCAAGTGCCTTCTAGAAAAAAAACACATGAACTCCCAGGTCATTACGGCATGCGAGTAAGCGATGTGGAAACGGGAAATACGGAATTGGTTCCTTGGACAAAATAAGGTGTACGAATTGATTCCCGATAATAATTATACGTCGTTATTATACCACTACTCGAATTGGTTCCGATATGCACGTATAGGTAATAACTAAAATTGTTAATACTGAGATCCTGTTGAACTGTGATTTTCCACCACAAATTATTTGACGGAAACTTAATTCGGAATTTTATTCCACCCGTCCGAATATTTAACTGAAAAAGATAACCAAGTAGTAAAAAATGTATATTGTAAATGCTGACCTATATGGCTATATCCCATTTTTTTTAAATTTCTTGTCTTAATTAATTTCGATCTATTTTATATTTGTTTAGACTATTATTATAAATCGGTTTTAATTGCATTACTTAAAGTTAAAAAATAACGAATTTAGCTCATTAGTCAATACTTATAACTTCGCTATATACGTTATACATAGAATATAGATACTAAATAGTTCAGCGGTACCCAAATTTTTTTTCCGCGGTGCCTTTTTTTGGAACCAATTTAGCCACAATGCCCTAATGTGAATAACATGAAAGACAGAACCGTATAGACCGTAGAAATGGGTGCCCTTAGAAAATGCTCTCGGTGCCAATAGGGCACCGCGGTGCACAGTTTGGGAACCGCTGGATGAGTTGGTTTCATGTATATAATAAACAATTATTTTTCAAACATGTATAAAAATTTATTTTGACATAGTTCTATTATTAAAATGAATTTTCATTGGAGCCAATTCGTATGTTACTAGTAAACCACCTGTAGCAACCAATTTGTGTATATATATATATTTATTAAATGTAATATACTAATATACACTACCTGGAACCATGGCCGTAACAGCGGAAGATTCAGAGCCCAGGGGTCCGGAACCCCCCCCCCCCCCCAAAAAAAAAAACAATTTTAGCTGTGAATATAATAATTGTTTATTGATTATTAAATAATTAAGAATAATTTTATATTTTCGTTAAGGCAGTAATTACAGGAATAAAGAGTTTTTATATTTTGAACTTAAAAATTATGGGTGTCCAGTATCTATATTAGAAAATGTTGGGCCTCAACCCCAAACATTTTTTAGTTAACCTTGCTGGGAACCAAATCGGTAATTGGGAATCCATTCTTCGTTGTGTAACCAACTATACAAAAAACCCTCTAACTTACATAACGGTCTATGTGATTAGGTACTTATCAAAAAAATATTACCTATAAATTACAATAATATCATATGTATCAGTATCTATTATTTACCTGTATAACGGCTATATGTACTGATAAACGGTATAATATGTGTATAGCTTAACCTGCACAATATACATATATAAATATTTAATAGAGATGATAATTATGTAAATATATATATATTATTAACGCACCTACATATTATACTATTTGTCATACTTATTTCATATATTATGTATACCGTAAACAAATTAAACTATATTATACTAAATGGTTTTCGTATTATGTGAAACTACTATACTGGAAATAAAATAATAAAATGGCGGTGTATAAAAATCGTTTATAATGGATATTAATATTTTAACAATATATATGAAACGCTTGTTATACGACGGTCCACTCGATATTATATATATTATATAGTAGGTACCTATAAAATACATAGTATATACGTGTAATATATAATGTATAACGTCCACCATTTTATAGTTCATTAATCTCCTTAATAACTGTTGAACAAACAACGAAAACTTCAAATCGTGAATATTGACAGAAATAATGAAAACGACTACACTGCGACCATATAATATATAATATATGATATAACATGGATACACGATCGAGATGTACACAACAAATGAATCGCGAATAATTTACTATAATCGATTTCACCTGTTTTCGACAGAACGAAACGAACTCGTTGAAATGTAATAGTATTATTAAGGCCTTATAATATATAAATATATTGTTATGATTACACACAATGTAAAGGAAGTATTAAGAAGTTACCATGATGGCATATATATATATAATATATATGATACATCGTTAATATTATGTTATAATTAGGGTTCGGGACTTCTTGCATTTGCATGTATTTTTGTAGTGGTCGTAGTCTATTCTAAGTGAGTTATAAATGTGTTTTATGAAATGACGAAATTAAATACTAAGTTTGAATTTGCATATTTTTGCATATTTCGTCATATTTTAAGAAAAGCACATATTTGTGAAATTTTTAACATATTTGGGCATATTTCACATTTTTATATTTTTATAAATGTAAAATTGTCGGAAAAAATCATGATTGGATGGTCGTAGTCTTTCGTATCTAAAACGTACGTCTGTTTACGATGATAGTCTCTTTATCGCTTAATAATCAACCTTTTTATCGACAATATCGACAATTGTATATTTGTGGTAAAACCTTATGAATCCTGGGTTGATACAGATGGAGATGAGTAACCCGTGTAAAAAACATTTTTATTATATTAATACCTACCTAATTTTTAAATTTTCATTTTTATAATAATAATTTACAATATACCTTATGCGTTTTTTAAAAACAAAATACAAAATTAGCTGCATATTTTAAAGCATATTTTGACGATTTTGACTGCATATTTCCATGCATATTTCGATAATCTTAAGTGCAAGAAGTCCCGAACCCTAGTTATAATGCTAAAAAATGTTTACATGATAGCTGACAATGTCATAAAAAATGCTGCATGCTAAATGCTAATACATTTATATAATAATACTTATTAAGAATTACAATAATGAGCATATTATGTCTGTAGATTTGCCTTTTAGATTATAGACAATATAATAAGCAATCGGATTGATGGTATGGTGATGAATGGAGGAAGGCAGGCGATTAGTTTAATCTTGGAATGATTATATTATTTATAAATATATAATTTTTTCAGGGCCTTTAAAATTTTGCGTGGCAAAATTTGTGCGTAACGACTATACTGACGCATATAAAAACTGTACTTAATCACCAGCAATATTTACATGAGATCAAATTTTAAAGATTCTGCCGAATTTATAGTCTTTATAGTATACAATAAATAATAATTAATATAATAATCACTAAACACTATAGACTACTTATATAGTTATATAACAGTCGAATAACAATTTAACATAATATGTTTATTTTAGAGTAATCTATGAAATATTAGTATAATCACAGTGGCATAATAAAATCTTCTCATTTTATATACTACACGTGTTATTTTCAAATAAAAAAATTAAAAAGAATTTAATGACAAAAACGACCGAAAAGTGACCTGCATCTGCTTTTAATTATTTTATGCAAAAACAGGATTCCGCCCCATGCTCGTTCAAAATTCCTTAATCGTGATTAAAATTCCTATAGTTATTTTCATTTACTTTAATTTTTATAAAGGCAACGGGTTAATATACTTGTAGGGTACATAAATATATTATACTCATATGGTCATGGTGGAGTACCATTAGTACCAATACCTATGAGCAACTTCGAAAGCAATATTGTTATTAGATTATAGTTTATGAACACAATTATAATATATTATTGGTGTAGTGTTGATAATATACTGTACCAAACTTCACCTGTATTATATTTTAATGGTTGGACTATTAAAGCGTTTGGTTGACGGAAATTGATAGATAAATATTTAAATTTATTATGTAAATGTTATAATTAATATTAAATATAATAATATTAAATATGTGCAAGAATTGTAGAACCGGCTTAATTTTGACGGGGAGTCGTTACATCTGTCAGGTTTGTTATATTGAAATTTAAAACGTTAATTTGAAATTATATATTTATATTTTAATTTTATATTCGTTCAGCGTAAAAAATTATTAATACGCAAACGAGTACGTTTTACCTGTCTACTTCAATTCGAAATGTACACAAAATGTAACAATGTCATTAACGTGAGTTGCATTATTAAATCATCTCAAGTTTACAACATAATTTATGATATTGCATATATATATATATATATATATTATATACGCCGAAGATAAGTACCTACGGACTACGAGTTACAGCTTATAAGTTTTTATATGATAGTAATAACTAAATTTGGATTTTTATTTACTAACAAAACAGGTGCAATAATAATTCCCTAAGTATTTTCTACAAGCCTATAATGACGGCTTACGCACAGCCCTAGGACGTTTTATTGGCAAACAATGAACAAATTGGTTTATTTCGAACAACTCATTCCGCATGTATACATTTATAATTTATAATATAGACATATAGTCTATAGGTAAGTATATAATTTAAAATTCGAAGCGTAGGCATCACTTTCTCA